TCTATCTATCTATCTATCTATCTATCTATCTATCTATCTATCTATCTCAGTTCTTTCTTTCCTTCCTCTTCCTCATCCATCTATCCACCCATATCTATCAATCTAATCTATCTATCTATCTATCTATCTATCTATCTATCTATCTTCCTTTCCTTCCTTATCCATCCATCCATCCATCCATCCATCCATCCATCCATCCATCTATTTTCCTTTCCTTCCTCTTCCTTATCGATCTATTGATCGATCGATCCATCCATCCATCTATCTATCTATCTCATTTCTTTCTTTCCTTCCTCTTCCTCTTCCTCATCCATCTATCCACCCATATCTATCAATCTAATCAATCTATCTATCTATCTATCTATCTATCTATTTTCCTTTCCATCCTCTTCCTTATCAATCCATCCATCCATCCATCCATCCATCCATCCATCCATCTATATCTATATCTATATCTATATCTATATCTATATCTATATCTATATCTCTATATCTATCTATCTATCTATCTATCTATCTATCTATCTATCTATCTATCTATCTATCTATCTATCTTCCTTTCCTTCCTTATCCATCCATCCATCCATCCATCCATCTACAAACCAAAAATCAAGAGAGGGTAAACATTATTTGCAATTATTCCCAAAGCCCTTTGCACACTACAAAAACAAATAATAATTTTGAGATCCATTCTCTGTCTGATCTGGCGTTTGGCCACTTCTGACTATAGCTGCTTTGCAAATCTGCTTCCTTTGCAAACAGACAAGAAGAAGAAGAAGAAGAAGAAGAAAGCAACCCTGTCTGGAAAACCAGCCTTTTAAAGATCCTTCCAAGGGCCTTCTCAAAAAATAATATATTTATTTCCCATATTTATAAAATCCAGGTGTTGGATTACCTGCAGTGGCTGGAAATGGCCTTTTCACAACCTTTGGGCTTGGCAGAGCAGAGAAAGAGATAAAATAACATTTTCAACCCTGAACAGACCCATTATATTGGAATCAAGTCCGAATTACTGACACGGTCGTATGAATACGGCTTTGCTTGTATCCAGAATATCAGCTCCACGGAGTAAACCCTGCTTCAGCTAACGGTGTGAGCCCCACACAACTGTAGACTTTTTAAATTTTAATTCCACCCTGTAATAAGGCCCTCTGCACGAGCCCAGAGGGCCTTCATTCTTTGGCTTTGATGTTACGGGCGTCCATTGGGTGCTAAATACCTTTGATGGGCAAGTTTCCCCCCCTCAAATCTCAGTTCCTCTCTTTGATATTGGGGTTCAGCTCTGTTTTTAGGGCAGGCTGGGGCGCTGAGCACAATCAGAGCAGGAAAACTAGCAGAGGGGACATTTGAACCCGGCTCTGGGCCTGAGATCACAGCTCAAAGTCCAGGAAAAACCTCCCTGGGAAGGAAACAACAGACTGAAATGACCAGCTCAAATAATTTTACCATGTTTCTAGATGGGTTTGGGGTTTTTTTGGGGGGGTGGGTTTGCTTTTCTGCAGGCAGCTACTGCAGAGATGACACTGCAGGCAGCCTTCCAACCGGTAAAGAAGAAGGGTGAAGCCTTCCCTTCCCACTCTTACTCCTGCCACCACCCCCCAAATAAAACCCAGATGGCAGAGAAGGTCTGGGGTGCCTCGAGATTTCGGGATTGCCCCTTGGAAGAAATGTTGTGGGGGGGGCAGGAGGTGAAAGAGGGGAGACCGGGGAAAGGTCTTTGGGGTGTGTCCAGAGTTCGAATGGCGACGGCTTGGCCTCCTCCAACAACCTCCCCCCCTCCCTCCCCGTCACAAACAAACAAGACTTGGGAAGCAATGCAGAGGTTGCCTGTATCTGGAGCAGGGATGCACATTTTTTTTTAAAAAAAAAGGAAGAAAAAGAATAAGGAAGCAGGTGAGACATACCTGAAGGATGCTCAGAGGTAGCGGGGGAAGGGAGGCAGGGGTTTCCCCAGCCTGGAAGACAAACCAGGATCTGTCCTGGTTTATTTCCTGATCCTGTCACTCATCGATCCATCCATCCATCCATCGCTGGCATTTCCAAGCACAAAGCCAGCCTGGTTTTTTGGGGGGTGGGTGGGTGGGAGGGAAGGAGGGGGGCTGCTGCTGGGGGTTGTCCTCAAGGACACTCACCTGCCTCCGCCTCTGTCTGTCCGTCTGTCCTTCCCTGATGTCTGCTGCAGAGTTTGGTCCAGCCCAGCCCAGCCCTGCCGTGCCGAGCTCACCCCAGCAGAGCAGAAGCAGAAGGGGAGGCGCTTAAAGCCAGCTCGCGTTGCGATGTCTCCCCCACCCCTTATTTAACGCTTACCGCGCTGGATTAAATCAACGTCTCCGGGAAAGAGGTGCCAAAGGGAACCCCTGGAGGTCATCCAGCTCAACCTCCCATCCGGAGCCTGGGTTCGGCTTGAATTCTGAGTATGGGCAGTTCAGGATCTTATTTTGGAGGGGAGGGATTGAATTTGGAGAAGCAGCCCCTTCGCACACAGACAGACAGACCAGAGATAGATGATAGAAAGAAAATGTGTGTTTAGGGGGTGGGGGGGAGAGAGAGAGAGAGAAATATTGTGTATGAGAGAGAAGATATATGTAAGAGAGAGAGAGAGAGAGAGAGAGAGAGAGAGGCAGACAGACAGACAGACACATAGATATAGACATAAGATAGACAGAGAGAAAGATGATAGAAATATTGTGTGTGAGAGAGATGTAGATAAATACTGTAGATAGATGATAGATAGATAGATAGATAGATAGATAGATAGATAGATAGATAGATAG